GACCATTGATCTTGGTATGAAAAGCTTGGGGGAAGAATCTAGCTGAGACTTACAAAATCCTTGTAGTCTGTATCATCTTGAAAGAAGAAAAATCAAAGCAAGGGAATCTCAACTGGCAGGCCCAGTGTTGCCCACACAGGGGTTTTAAGGTCAGTGGCATTCTCCTCCTGATCTTTTTCATGGGCTGTACTGGAAGGCTAAGTACCAACGCCTATGTAAATGCTATCAGGAGTTGGAAAAAGAGGGAGGAAATTACTTGCATATTTCTATCTGTCAAATGTGGTGCCAGATTTTCAGGCACTTAGTGTGCAGTGCCCACTGTTGGAGTCGATCTTCAGTCGGGCTTTACTTGGGTGCCTAAATAAGAGAGCAGATTTTTCAGGTGTGCTCGGCACTCGGTAAGCATTTTCTGAGTTCTGGCCACATACTTAAGAGCTCAGCACCCAACAGGCAGATCCAGACCCTTATATTGGTGTTTAAAAGGCGGAGATGAGCTCTTGAAAATCATTGTGGAAATGATGGCATTCAATGTAGAGAAGTGCAGGGTGCTCCACCTTGGGAGGAAAAACCAGCATCACACTTAGGCTCGGCAGTGCTCCACTCGCTAGCACCATGACTGAAAGAGACCTGGGGGTCTTGATTGACCACAAGGTGAAGGTGAGGCACTAATGGGATGCCGTGGCCTGCAAAGCAAACCAAACACTGGCGTGCATCCACTGATGCATCCCAAGCAAAACCAGGGATGTCATCCTCCCACTCGGTTTGCTCTGGAGTTTACGTTGGTGCCTCCACCTGTGGCTTGCTTGATGTAGGGAAGCAGCCTCCGTGTTAATTTTGGCAGGGTTCCCCTCCTTGCTTCAGGGCTCAGGTCATTCTGTAGGTATTGGGGATCAGAATGAGCCCAGTTAACACCGTCTGCTTGTAGCTGGTTTCCTGCATCATCGTATGACGGTCGCTACAGGAAACGAGATGCCCGGTTCTGATCCGGCGTTCCTGGGATCTGATGCATCTTGTGCAATTTCTGCCCTGGGTGAATACTGCAAAATGGCATTTGTGGTCACTGTTTCTTTCCAAATAAAAACCCCACTGACTTGCTGTGTAGTGGAATGTGCAGGCCTTGGTATTTTCATCTGCTCATGAGCATGGGCAATTTGAAAGCCGGCCTGTTTTTGCAAAGGCACAAGCACTTTTGGCAGATGTAGTCACTTTGGTTTCCCTCCTCCTGTTTATAAAATAAATAAATTAGTCATGCTAGCAGGGAGCAGAAACTGTCACGTGACCTCATGTGGCCAATTATACAGCAGGAATGCTGACTAATTGAAGGCATTTGAAGTGAATAATTTAACGGCAAACCCCACGGTCTGAAATATGCTGATTTGCAGTACACTTCCTCATGTTAAACAATGCATTGAGACGTGGATGAGAAGTAAAACAAAAGAGGAGGCTAAATTCATTGAGTGAATTATTATTATCTTGGTACAGTTAGCTGGGCTGTTGCTGCAGAGGGCTGGATTATGAGGCTGGTACTTGCTTCTACTAAGACCGGCAGCCCACCTCTCTTCCTTTCACCGTCCTGTGAGCCTGACTCCTGAAGGTGGATTTTCAAGAGCCTTTCTGCTATCTTTTTCATCTGAAAGAGTCGGTACTAGTAGGCCTGTGTGAGTCGGCAGCGATCCTGTCAGCAGCTAGGGGTGCAGGACCCCAGACTTCCCCTGCACCGATCTCTTCAACAGTTGGCAGGCGTCACAGCAGGGGCTACCATCCCTGCAGCTTTCACCCCGCTGCGCCTGAACACACGCAGTGTCACCCATGGCACGAGTTGTGCTTGTCCGCAGCTTGAGGGGCAGTTCCCCCCAAACCCCTGCACCGATGGTCTTGAAACTTGGTAGGCTTCAGGCTACCGCCCCTGAAAATTTTCATCCTAATTGGACAAAAAACCACAAAGTTGTAAATATCTTATTGTTTCCCCATTATACCCTATGGCTGGATCTCAGCTCCGAACCACTTCAGGAAGCCGGACAAGGCCAGTGCTTGGACCCAGATGTGCTGCTTCATACCCTGCAGTGTCCAAAGCTTCTCTGGATCCAAAGCTCTGTCCGAAGCTTCGCACAGCCCTAAGTATCGGCTATGCCACACCTACCTCCCCAGATGCAGCCTTGCATTTTGTAGCCGGAAAACAAGATCGAGACCATGTAGTGGGGGCGTGACGACAAGAAATGAACATGCAGCATGAAGAAATGAAACGCTGAGGTTGGACTGGGTGACCTCCTGAGGTCCTTCCAACCCTAATTTTTTATGATTCTCAGCACCGAGGTCTGTTGCAATGAGTTGTCCGTCTCCCAAGAGATGTGCTAGAAACCGTGTTGCTGTGAGATTAGACTGGAGTGGCGGGAAATATAGCACCAAGCCCAGTCTGGCTTTAAAGGTGGGACTGGGTGGTCTGCTGGGATTCCCCCGTTGCTATGTTCTGGCATGTAGCCCCCTCCCTTTTTCCTGGTAGACTAGAGACCATGGTCCTCTCTCTCTGTGGCAGGTAGACTTCAGGTTGTCAGCTAAGGCTCGCATGAGCAGAGTGCATGGATAGAAGATCCTCGCAGCTTTGCTTGGCATCTGGCTCCGTGTTGACCTTGGAGGGGGTTTTTCTCTCTCAGGATCTCTACCTTTTCATAAACAGGCTTACAAATCGAGTGGCCTAGTTTCCGAACGGGTCCAGCTGCAGCAGGCTCCCTTTCCTGCCGCTAATCCTGAAGGAGCGCTCCATGGCGTGCAAGTGGCAGTGGGCAGAGGAGCGCGTTGCTTTTATCCCGTTCTGTTTCTGAACCCGCAGAAGCTGCAGCTCTAGCTATTTTGGGGGTTTTTTGTGATCTGTGTCTAAGCCACTCGTTGTCATAAGTGTTCTGATTTTTCCTGCCTCTGATCACTCGGTTTTATTTTTCAGAGATGACCGTCTGCAACTCGTGATGCTTCCAGGGGGGCAGGATTTCTCCTAGGGGTGTGTGTGGAAGATGGTCTGTTCACAAAGCTCTGCCATGCTGAGCAAGCAACCTTTGCTGTTGATTTTTATGGGGTCAGGATTTCACACTCATTTCCCCTCTTCCCACCCACCCCCAATCTTCGCTCTTGGTTCGTTATGCTGCTGTGTTGGGTCTCTGCTAAAACTATACTCTGAACATCTTGGACTGTGATAAGGCCTAAAATTTTGGAATTCCCTCTGCCTTTCTGATTCTTTCCCCCCCCCCATCACCTCCTCCTCAATCTCTGCTTGCTCCTTTGCCTGGAGCGTGGCCAGACTTCTTCCTCATGTTGACCCAGCCTGAGCTGGACTCCTTACTCATGTCTTAATCGCTTCCTGTCTTGGCTGGTGCAATTCCCTCTCTGACATCTGTAAATCCTTACCTCCATTAGCTCTACTGAGTGCAGGGTCTGCGGTCTACTTCTAGACCTGCCCTAAGAAGCAGGCTCATGTCACCGGCCTCGTCGTCTGTCGGCAGCTTCGGCACCGTCCGGTTCCACTTGCCCATTTGGACCTGTCCGTGGTCCTCTTTGTCTACGACTTTTCCCTCTTCTGCTCATTGTCAGTCCTTGGCCTCATTGCTGTTTTAGGTTGTGGGGCTCCATCTATGAGGAATATCCTGCCTTGTATGAGTCACTAAGTCATTTCCTTTCTTTTTAAATTTCAGCTGTGTCCTAAAACGCTTTGTTCAAAGAGCTGAGCAGGCTATAATGAATCCACAGTGTCATATGGGTGAGGAATAGAGGCTGGAATTATCTTCCACTTGGGTATTGGAGATTCACCCCCCCCCCACCCCACAATGGGGTGACTTGACTGATGCCTACAGTAAATGAATAGCAAAACTAGATTTCAGAAGCTCGTTGTTTGAAGTCTTGTGACGCGTCCAGGAGACCAAATTGACTCTGTTCCTCTGCAAAGGTTTTTAGTTGTATAAAGATGCGTAGGGCCTGACTTGGAGGTGCCAGGCCGTTGACCTCTGTCAGTAGGGCTCAGCACTGGTGGAAGCCAGGGCTGTACTGAATTGTGTTGTGGCCTGTGTCTCTGAAGCTTTCTAGCTATGCTGTCAATACCTGGGCACTGATGCACTAGACCCCTTCTACTGCAGCCATAGACTAAGTCTGCAGCAGTCTTGTGTTGTCTTCCCGTGGCTTAAATTTTGGGAATCTTTAGGTGGCACTTTGCAGCTGGGCAGCAGAGTGTTTTGCTAAGCGATCAGTGGGACATCATTCATTTTGCTCTCCAGGCCTCATCCTCCTCCAGTGCAGACCAAGGCAGTTTTCCCACTGTGGAACTGGGTGGACTGGTGACAGGTTAATTCTGAATTTTTAAGATGCATGAAGACATTGATTGACTTCGTTCAGGGGTGCTGAATCCCTGGCCTGCGGGCCACATCTGGCCCACAGAGCTGTGTCCTCCTGTCTGCTGGGCTCCCTGCAGGTCTGGAAATTTAGCAGTGAGGGTACAGAGGCAACATTCATTGCCATTCCCCAGCTGCCAAATGTCTAGACCCACGAGCAGATATTGTAGCCTTGCATGCTAGATGGGGTGTGCGGGACTTGGCCATGTGGGGCCAAGGTGGCAGCCCCATGCTGCTCAACCAGACTGCAGGACACAAAAGTTTAGCACCACTGACCTCATGTAAACTTGGCTTGGGAGTTTTTTGGATCCACACCCCTTACTAATGTCCGTGTACTCACTGTCTGATAGTACAGGAAGGCCTCAGCCGAGACCAGGTCCCCATCGTGCTAAATGCTGTATGGGCTGAAGGTAAGGTTTGGTTCCTGATCTGGAGAATGTAATGTTTCCTTGGTCTGTCTGGATTTTGTCCTCCTCTTACAAGAAGCACCAGATTTGCTAGACTGCGATTGCTTGGGTCACGGAGGTGGGAATGGGTTTGGTTTCCAAAACCCCAGCCCGAGGCTTGACCGTACGAGTCCCCTTCCCAGGCAGTACTGTTTCTGAATTTTTGTGCTTCTCTTCTCTCCAGGTCTGTGAAGATGGAAGAAGGGGTCCATCATCTAGAAGCCTGACCTGGTGACGCTGGGAAAATCCTCCATCTCTTGGTAGCTGCTTGCCTGAAATACAGAACAAGACAAAAATGCTGAAGCCAAGTGGACTTAAAATCCCTGGCAGGGCAGGGAAGCACTCCAGCCCGGTGGGACGGACTTCCGGGACAGTTACAGCTGCTGTCACCACCAGCTCTAAGGAAGGTAAGAACTAGATTTGGTGGGAGGTGACCCAAACATGAGGAAGTTTTGGTAAAAAAATGCCTTTAAAATCCCTCACTCCTGTTTCTCATGTTGACCTAGGAGGTTTACCCTGGATACTTATCAAAAACAAATGGAGTGAGGGCCTTGTGTTGCCCTCTAGGAACTGATCTGCAAAGCAGACGGGACCTGTTGCTGATGCCTGGGGAAAAAACCCCATAGTTTAATTAAAACTTATAATGCTAAGAGCTGAAGAAACAGTCCCAGTCCTGTCCTGCTGCAGGTGTGTGAGCAGGATTAATTTAGCGATTGCATCTGGCTAAAGCACTTGGGAACACGGGATAAATAGCTCTTTTTCTCTCTGTGGAGCTTACAGATTTAAAGCCAATGGTATGTTTTTAATCGGAGCATCATGCAGTGGCTTCAATGATTGCAATGCAGTTTGACAAGATGTGAGGATATGTTTGAAGAAATGCTGGCTGGACAAGTAAAAGCACTGCTTGCACACGATTCAATGCTGATTTACAGGACTGATGCCTTTAGCTTGTAGTAATGCAAGTGTGTGCTTGCAGTACCCGGGGTGGGAAGCTTTCTGACCCTTGCCTTCTGGAGAAGGCTAGGGTTTTTGTGATAATCTTGAGTCAATGCCACTGTTTTTGGCAGAGTCATTGTTGTGCCCTACATATGTTTTAGACATCCGTACTCCATAAAAGATGTACCGATTAGAATGACCAGGGTCAGTGTATTGTATATGGAAAACCTTCACTGAGGCCTTCAACTTGCAGTTTGTGTTTTGTTTCTTTCCTTGATTGCCACTTTTGGTTGTTAAGCAAATTAAGCCAAATGATGGAGAGATGAAAGCTGCTTCCATTTTAAAACAATGGAATCAAAATTTGAGAGAAACCCCAGACATGCGTGAGACGGAGGAGGGCTCTGTAGGGGCTGCCACGCCCTCTGTTGACAATCTTCTTGCTATAGTGAGTTTTCCACTGCATGGTTTAGTACTGCTCCACTTCAACCTTTTTGCTTCCTTGAGAGCTTTATTTTAAAATTGGAGACTGTCTAGCTCCTAGAGCATTCTGTAGCTGCAATTATCTTCTGTCTCTTTGGAAAAGAGTATCTTGGGGTACAAGGGTGCATTGAACTCGGCATAGCTGAGAGGCATCATCATCCTGCCATGGAAATGTGTGCAGGGCCTTCACAGACAAAGATCTGCTTTGCCATGGTAAAGTTCATAGTTTCATACCTTCTAGGGTCGGAAGGGACCTGAGC